CCCCCCTCTCTCCCCCCCCCCCCCTCTCTCTCTCTCTCTCTCTCTCTCTCTCTCTCTCTCTCTCTCTCTCTCAGCTTCGACTTCGAGCAGCCAAAGCGCTTTGTAGATTTTGAATATTTTGGGCTTCAAGTTTGGAGCCTCTTAATGGCCCAATAGTACGGTTCGAAAATTAAATCCAACACGTTATTAGGCCTATATATATATATATATATATAAATTGAGAGTATTTTGATAAATTAACCGAAACACCATAAATTGCTATCATAACGTAGATAAAATTGCGATTAAAATCTTAACATTTTGTTGTGATTACGGGCGATTGTGTACTAATCACTTTTTCAATAGTCCGCAATCTCAACTCAGGGGCCGACTGGTTGCACCGCCGCCACCCGCAAACGAAGCGGTTGCAATTTCCGTCAGTTGCGGGCGATTGAAAAACTGACTGGTTGAATCGCAACCAACCGCAACCGCAACCAAACTTGTGTTTTCTAATCGCAGCTTTCAACTTGCGTTTTGGTAGCGGTTTCCAGCGTTTTGACAAAAAAACTAAAATATTTTTATTAGAAATTATATAAAACATTAATATATATATATTGGTGATGATTTTGTTTAGTATTATGATTTGATATTATTTTTTAGTATTATATTTTAATAAAAAAAATAAAATAGTATAATTTTTAGGTTTAATAATGATTATTTTTAATAATTTTTATAATAAAATTATTTTTTTACTTGAAAATAAATTAAATTGATAATATTTTTATTTTAAATTTATTATTTAATTATTATAAATTTAGTAAATAATTTTAATTAAATGATACGAAAAATTTAATTAAAACTATTATAAAAAATTATTTTTAAAAAATATTTTTTTGACAATTTATATCAAAACGCAACCGCAACTGTAATGAACCATTCACTTCTAACTGCACCCACTCGCAATCGCTACCAACAGCAACTTTTCAACCAGTCAGTACTAATCATTTATAATCGCTATCAAACGTTTTGAAAATGCTGCCACCCGCAACCGCAACCGTTGCGGTACAACCAGTCGAACCCTCAATCATCTCGTTTACGGACGATTGCGTTATCACCTGCCGGACCCCTAGAAACCGATTGCCATTTGAAGAGCTGCTGACTAATCTCCTTGGCCTCGTTTTGTGTGCATAATTCAGTGAAGGCATGATGTCGGTTTCTACTTTCTCAGATTTCTCGTTTCGTTTACAAGGAGTGGTTTTGACTATTTTTGTATCAAGATGTTATATCTAGAATCGAATTATGTCACTATTAAACAAATGGAATTCTTATATGAGGCAATGGTTTGGTTGCAAAATAAAATATAGAAAAATATATCGTTTGGTTTTTAACCATGATGTTTTTCGGATTTTCGCCCCGACTACATCTCTTAGACCCGGAGACAACATTTAGAAACACATTTGATTACGCTTCCTTCTCTCCACACACATGTAGATAATTATAAATTTATAACCTATGAAGATATAAATAAAAAAAAGTTACTCACTACCCCTCTTTGAAAAAATACATCATGTTATCTTCATTTTTTTCTTTCCATTTGTGTATCATCGTGCAAATATTCTTGGTATCTCTTGATAATATTACCAAAATTTCTAACTATCTTTTGATCCATTACCAAAAAAAAAAAAAATAAACAAAATATCTCATTTAATTGATATAAATATTTAGATAAAATCAAATATAATATTACGATAATAATGTAAATATTTGTTCATATTTGTAGAATGTTCTTGAAATCTCTTGATAATTTTTCCCAATATCGTAAAAATATCCAAAACAAATGCATGGGAAAGTGGGGATGGTAAGTAGACATGCAGGTTTTACGTGGAGATAACACATCAAAGCAAACAACTTACATTTTCACATGAATCTCTCTAACTTGTGACTCACGGAATGTGTCACCCATCAGACCAATTCTATCGATTGATACAACGTTGGATCTCTGGTTTATGATCACGTGTAGTTTTCATTTTCCAGAAAGGAAAATAAAAATGGTGTAAAAAATAAAAGGGAAAATAAAAATAAAATAATGGAAAAGAAAAAGAAAAAGGAAAAGAAAAAGGGCGCCTTCGTCTTTCTTTAGACGCATGACGGCGAGTGCCCAGACTTGTAATTATTTAAATTCGGGGGGAAAAAAATATCCAGCGACGGCTGTGCGGTTATTGCTATTTAATTTCCAATATTCAATTTGCCTAAACTAGCACTCTCTCTCCCTCGTTACCCAACGTGTCACGCTCTGTAACGGTTACCTTTTTAAGGGCATTCTCGTCATTTTCTTCTCATTACAACTAATCCTCTTTTTTCCACTCTCTCTCCCCCGTCTTTTTGACTTCCCCCCTTCCAAAAGGCGAATTTTATCTCCGGCAATGGTGGTCTTGTTCTCGGTTTTCCTTGTGTAGAATAAGCGCTAGCCTGCGTGATCGCTGTTTGGAAGTCGGGGTAGTTTTCCGGCGGAGAGCAGAGGAGGAGACGGCGGCGGAGATGGTGCAGACGGCGGTGGAGTTTCTGGTGCCGTCGTTGTGGGAGATTGAGGTTGCGGTGGCCGTTTCAGCGCTTGCGATCACCGCGTATTGTTTATTCGCCTACAGAGACGGAGATGACGTAGCCGGCGGTGAGGGTTTTGGTCGGTCTCACCTCTTGGAGAATTCTAATTCCGGAGACGCCATATTTGATAAAGATAAGGTTTGACTTTGTCCTTCCCCAATTCACTTTGTTTTTGGGCTTTCGAGTGGGTATTTCTCTGTTGCTTGTCGGTGACTCAATGAATCGGATAATTTCTGTATTTGGGTTCTGATTTGAATGACCAGATCATTTAATCTCTTGAGAGAACTTGAACTGTGTTATCGAACCTTTCTTGACCGGTAAAGTGTATATATGATGCCGATTTTTGTAGAACACACTTGCGTTTTCATGCACTGCCCTAAAGTGCTGCTGCTTTTCATGGAGTAATTTTCCCATTTTTTTTTGACGTGCAGTTCTGCACTTATTTTGCAGATGGGCCACTTGAGAGGAGCCGCTCAAACAATTGCTGCAAACATAATCAAGGTAAATTGGATTTTCCGCCATTTATTAGGGTCATATCTGCAGATTAAATGGTGCAAAAACCTTGGGTTTGTACTTATGCTTCTTGTAATCCTTCGAGTTCTCCAGGTGGAACTGCTGGCAGCTAAGAATCTTATCGGCGCAAGTTTAAATGGAACATCAGATCCCTATGCTATTATAACTTGTGGTTCAGAAAAGCGATTCAGGTTGTTCATATTTTATTTTTCAATTAGATCTAGATGTTAACCTTTTCTAAGGGATATGTGAGTAGCTTATGATCAAAATTAGTTCTGTCTTGGATGCCAGTCTCTTGCCAGTCCTTTTTGTGTTGTCCCTCTTAATGCTTCTTCCCACGATCCATAGAAAGAAAGAGTTTGCGGTGTATCTGTTTAATGGATTACATACAGCTTTGATTGTCTAATGTATATCTGTGTTTGTTACAGTTCTATGGTCCCTGGTTCAAGAAATCCCGTGTGGGGTGAGGAGTTCAATTTACCTGCGGATGAACTTCCTGCTAAGGTAATCACCTTGATCCACCTCCGTTATGCTTTCGGAGTTTGCGTTCTAGTTCAAAGTTGGAGACTTGGCTATTTCAAATTTATTGGTCAGAATCTCCTTGCTATAGATAGAAAGGTTTTCTTCCCGAGGCCAAATGCCTCGGGTCAGTCATCATATTGAAACACACATTTCTTAGGATGAACATTTTTATTCATAATATGGAAGTTTATTGGTGTAGGGGAGGGGCGTTTAAGATGGTTTGGACATGTACAACGTAGGCCGATAGATGCGCCGTTTAGAGAAGTGGAGTGTATAGGAATAGGGGTGAGAAGGAAAGGAAGAGGTAAACCTAGACTTAGTTGGGAGCGTGTCATTAGAAACGATTTGGAAGTGTTGCAGCAACCGACAGAGTTAACTCGGGATCGAAATGAGTGGAGAAGAAGGATTCATGTAGCCGACCCCATATGAACTTGGGAATGAAGCGATGTTGTTGTTGTTGATGTATGAAAGTTTAGTGGTAAAGAATACTGAAAATGCTTATTTCTTACGTTAGTCGTATACAGTTTATACTTCTGGATGCATGTCTTGAATTCTCTGCTAGTGTGCCAGAAACTTATAAATCTTGGCCTTTTAATTATCAGTGAACTTAACTGCCAGTGGAGTTTCTTGGTCATGTGGACATTGTTAGATGTGTTATGACCAATGTGAAAGTAGTCAGTAGATCTGTTCAGCTATTGAAAATGTGGAATGATCCCTCATTGGGAGGATAACGTCTGTTATACTTCACTGCAGATTAATGTAACAATTCATGATTGGGATATAATTTGGAAGAGTACTGTCCTCGGTTCAGTAACTATTCCTGTGGAACACGAAGGGCAGACAGGTCCAGTTTGGCACTCATTGGATAGTGTATCTGGCCAGGTGATCTTTTTTCCTAGTTTCCTCTTCATTCTCTACTTGGCTTCTCAAGTTTTCTTCTTTTTTTTTTTCTTTTTCTTTTTAAATCTCGGACCTTCTTATTTCCATTGAGGCTGATCAAAATCTGGCTCTGATTCTCAGGTGTGCCTTAACATTCGTACAAGCAAACCACCCCTGAATGCTCCTAGGTAATTCTCTTGTTCAAACTAATTTCTATGTATTATTTGCTGGTTTTCACCCTGTTTGGATAGGAAAACAATAAACTATTTTGGATTATGCAGTCTGTGCATTCTCTCTTTCTATATATTATAGAACGTTTTGCCATAATGGTTCCTGTTAGAACACGTATGCTTCCCTCGTTCTTTTCTATGTTTGTAATTGACCTGCAAGCCCGACTGTATCATGTGAAAATAGTCGTAATGAGTATTGACTTAGTACGAGTGAATTTGACTAGTAGGATCATGCCTGGATTTGCTGGAGCCAATTTTAGAAGAAGGGTTTCTTTGGATGAGCAAGGGCCAACAGTTGTACATCAAAAGGCAGGGCCTTTGCAGACAATATTTGATCTTCTCCCAGATGAGGTGAGTCAGTAAGAAAACTAGAGGCTTCTTGTAAGGATCTTGTGTAAGAACTTGAAATATGTTGTCTTTTTTTTAATGAATTCCTCAATGTTTATTCAGTACTCTAACTTGCCTGGGCAATTTTCGTTAGGTTGTCAAGCACAGTTATTCATGTGCCCTTGAGAGGTCGTTTTTGTATCATGGCCGTATGTATATCTCTGCATGGCACATATGTTTCCACTCTAATGTTTTCTCTAAGCAAATGAAGGTCAGTGTTTATCTGCATTGTATCAGCTTCTAATAAAATTAATTTCAATTTCGATGGCTTTACATTTTCTTCCTTGCATTTTACAGGTAGCTATACCCCTTGGAGATATCGATGAGGTAATAAGCTTTTCTTGATCACCAGTTCCCTTCTAATGGTTAATCACATGATTGAAGTGATCACATCTTAAATTTCTATTGGTTATATAGATTCGTAGAAGTCAACATGCTTTCATAAACCCGGCTGTAACGATCATTTTACGGATGGGTGCTGGTGGACATGGTGTTCCTCCTCTCGGGGGTCCTGATGGTTAGCTATTAAATTAATTGGATGTTTAAATTTATTTTAGCGTTTGTAGCTTCTCTCGTTCATGAAGCAATTTTCTCTTTATGTATTCCTGCTTAACCAGCATCAATTAGTGTTAATAATCTGCCATTTGATTACCATCTAGCTGTTGTGGATGCTAGGACTAAAGCTTTGGAATGCCTCATGTATTTTCAGGTAGAGTGAGGTATAAATTTGCATCATTTTGGAACAGGAATCATGCTTTAAAAGCATTGCAGCGTGCAGTAAAAAACTACCGTGCAATGTTAGAAGCAGAAAAGGTCTTTTCTTTCTCTCTCTCCCCCTCCCCCCTGATGTTTGGAGATTTGGTATTAAGCTTAGCCTCCATGTATTTACTAGTTACCTGATATAATGATTTGGACAATCCTTTCCAAATTTCCTGGAGGAACTTCTACTTGTGCTTTTTGTGGCCATTTTGTGATGAAAATTCAGGATGTCTTACGCTTAACGGGATTTGCATTGATGGAGCCTTGAATCTGCTTTTCCAATTATCCTCTTTTATTGTCATTGATTGGATGCTTGGTTTGTGCATGCCATTCACTATTATGTCTTCTTTTCTTTTGTATCCTTAAAACAGTGTTTTCACCTTTACAATAGAATGCTTCTTCTGTCTTTGCTTGCAGTTATGCAATTGGGATATTTTGATTCTTTAGATTGAAAAATGCTTCCGTTTTTTGAAATCTTAACATGTAGACATGGAAAAGACCATGTGCTTTGCATTTTAATCATGCACTTCCAATGGTTTCATAGACGATACTTTTTATAAATCTTGGAAGATGAATGAATGGCTTTTATCCTTCCATCCATTTATAGGAAAGAGCAGAGTCCACTTTACGTGCCCATAGTAGCTCGGTGAAATATGATCAAGGAGAAACAAAAGCTCCTGAAGATAGTGTAGCTGTTCCTGAAAAGTATCAGTCTTTCATCAAGGAGGAAGTTCTTGTCAACATCTACAATGTAAGCTCGCGATTATTATTTTTTATATAGTTGTGAGTGCTTAGTGTTTATAGAATTTTTGTTTGAACTTTTAGTTTCATACTCTTGTATGCAGAATGTTTTCCCTTACACTGCCGAGCAATTCATGAACATCTTGTTGTCTGATAATTCCACTTACACTAATGAGTATCGGTCTGCACGAAAGGATAAAAACATTAATGTATGTATCTCATCCTTTGTCTAGTTCATTCATTTCACAATATCATCCTCAGCTTTGATTTGAATTAGTAACATGTGCAGATAGAACTGTGGCATCCTGCTGAAGAATATGAA